TATATATATATATATGCATATATATATATATATATATATATATATATATATATATATATATATATATATATATATATATACATATATATATATATATATATATATATATATATATATATATATATATATATATATATACATATATATATATATATATATATATATATATATATATATATATATATATATATATATATGTATATATGTATGTATGTATGTATGTATGTATGTATATATGTATGTATGTATGTATATGTATATATATTTATGTATATATTTATTTATTTATTTATATATTTATGTATTTATATGTGCACACACAATTATAGCGCGGTGTTGTATTGTGCGATAACCTGGTCGTCCACTGACATTATCTGCTCTAATTACTTTGACTTCCGCTACTACTTCCATACTATGAAATTCTTATGTTTCACTGTTCCATTCAGAACGGAGCTTCCATCACCACCCTAAAATGAACTCGATGTTTCATTGTACAAAGGATTGAGTGACGATCATCCTCTTCCACCTCCTCCAGTCAACGACCCCGAGGCATGCTGCAATATATCATCGTAGCGTGCAACTATGAAGCTGAGCGTTGGTTAGAATTTCTTTACGAAGTAGAGGGACCATTACGACAAAGTTGAATATTGTGAGCGGTGAAGGAATGGGTTGAGGCATGAGAAATGAGTGAGAAGGATAGAAGGGGGGTCTGATTTTGGTGTACCAGGGAAAACAGAGGAGCAAATACGAGAGGAAGGTGTAAGCCAAGGTGGGTATTTATGGGTAGAAAAAGGTAGGGGTCGGAGGTGAGGGTAGTGTGAATGGGAGAAAGGGTGGATAGGCGTGGAGAGGAGGTAAAGGCAAGGAGAAGGGAGTGACGGACATTTAGTTTAGAGAAAGAGAATAGTTCTGGAGAAAGGGAAGGTAGGCCAGGCGTCGAGAGAGAGAAGGTAGGCCTGATTCAACGTATAGGCTCTCAACCGGAGAGGAGCGGAAACGCCTGGGGCGAAGCGTAGACCACAGTGGTGGAAGTATCAAGATGAGTAAGAAGAGAAATAGAAGCAGAGGACAGCCATAGTCAAGAGTGGAAAGGATCAGTAAAGTATGGAGAAGGAGGAGAGTTTTGCGGTCTGAACCCCAGGATATGTGAGAGAGGGTCTGTAGGTGTCGGAGGTGGCGGCGAGTTTTCTCTCTTATGTAGAGGATGTGGTCTCGCCAGGAAAGTTTAGGGTAAAAAAATGACTCAGAGGAATTTGCCTGAGGAGCGGAAGATATATGTATCATGTAAAGAGAATGGAGGTTGAGGATATACACGTGATCGAGAAAAAAAGGATGGAGAGGGATTTGGAGGTGGAGAAACGGAAGCCATATATAATCCCAGGAAGATATTATATAATTTTCTAAATGTACAAGAGTCGGCTGTGCTTCGAACACGACGGAGTCTAAATTAAGAAGATAGAAGACTAGTGGATTCAAGGTGCCATATTAGTCGTAGATTGATCATTCTTTCTGCAACTTGCACAGGCAGCTAGCCAGAGCAATGGGCCGGGAGGGTGTCAGATTTATTAAATTTAAGGAAAGGTAGATTAAGAACTTCAAGCCAGTGAGGAAGAAAATTTCCGTCACCCAAATGTTGTTAAAGATTGTCAGTAGGAAGTATAAAGAGATAGATAGAAAATGTAATACACGGTAATGAATGCTCTCAGGGCCTCTATGTGTACTACGGCACGAGAAGTAGAGGGCAAGAGGGCATTGTAGGGTTCTGTAGAAGATAAGGAGGAGATGGAAATGTGTTCCTTGGCTGTTTTAATGGAATGGAATTGGGAATGAAGGTGAGAGCCACGCTGACCTAGCTGAAATTTGCAGCAAGTTCAGTAGCAACTTGTAAAGGTTTAGAAATGAGTGTTACGTATGTGGAAGACTGAGGTAGGATGAAGGGGATGTGTCCGTGATAGTCTATGGTTTCTACACCATACTGTAGAAATAGGTGTAGAGGAGGTAAGTATGGAGACGTAATTTTGACAGTTGGTTTTAACTGAGATTTGGATAGTGCGACTTAGTTGAGCTAATGGTCTTTTTTAATGTATAAGGGCCGATGTTTGGCTGGGGTTGCGATAACTACTCCATGCCGCACGCTTCAGTCTACCATGGAACGCATTTAGATGTACATGGTCGGGGAATGGTTGTGAAGGCAGCACTCAGGATGGCGATGATGAAATAAGAAAGCTTGTCTGATGTGGAAAAGAAGGACCAGTTGGGGATATAGGAAATAGGCGAGAGGAGAATAGGAAAGTGATCACTATGGGGAAGGCAGTCTAGAATTGACCAATGAAAGTTGAGATGAAGGGAAGGAGAGTAAAGAGAAAGGTCAAGGCATTAAGAGATTTGAGTGCGCATGTCGAAGTGGGTGGGACGATCTGAGTTGAGAGAGATAAGGTCAGTGTTAGAAAAAAAAAGAAAACGTTCTAGGGAACGGCCACGGGAAGTAGTGGTAGAGTCACCCCAAAGAGTGTGGCGACAGTTGAAATCTCCGACTGTAAGGAGTGGTGGTTGAAGTTGAAAAAGTAAAGTTTCGAAGACAAAAAAAGTCGATGAGAAGAGAAGGAGCAAAGTAAACTGAAACAACTGTGATCCAACGGCGAAGAAAGATGCATGTAATTGTGCAAGGGATTTTTTTGGAAGGGAGGATAGTGCCTGGTGTTTTTTGATGGGCGAGTATTGATGAAATAGAAATAGAGTGAGGGATGATATAAAATGATAATTTGGAATCGGCACTGGACAATGTGTTAGGAATGTTTCTTGGAGACAGATAATGAATGGGTTATAAGAAGATATGAGGTGACGAAGATTAGGTCTGTGAGGACGAAAACCTCGAATGTTCTACTGTAGAAGAGTCACTGTGGATGAATCAACGGGTGATAAGGGTAGAAATGGATGTCTTGAAAGGTAGGAGGAGTGCCTGGGGGTTGAGGTAGGGGATTAGAGGAAGGAGGTGAAGGTGAAGTATCAGGAGGTTCGTCAGGGAAGGTGCGATCGGGGGAAGGAGGTGAAGGTGTAGTATCAGGAAGTTCATGCGGGAAGGTGGGATCCGGGGAAGGACATTTTGACAAAAGGGAGTCACGTGTTTATCCAGGAGTGAGCGGTAGGGATATTAAGGAAGGAGGGGGTGTTGGTTTGCGTGAAGGAGAGGATTGGGTATGTTGGGAGGGAGTAGGGGGGTAGAGGGATGACGGATATATGGGGAGGAGGAGAATGGATGTTGGCGGTCAATTTGAATGAAACCGGAATGGGGTTAGGGAAATTGGAAGAACTTTCTCTTGAGTTTTACTTAGGAAGTTTCTAATGCCCTCAAGGGTTTAAGGAGGGGATCTGGGTGGGGAGGTTTGGGAAGCAAAGGAGGTGAAGAGAAGATGGCCATCTAAGGAGTAGTGGATGTAGATGTGGGAAGGGATGTGTTTGGAGATGGGATGGAACGTTTGGATTGTCTGGTGAGACGAGGAATAGGGACAGACATATGGGGAAAAAATATTTGACTGGGAGATAGGGGAAGCAGAGGTGGAAAGTCAAGCAGGGGGGAGTGGTACTGAGGAAGATGTAGAGATTACTTGGGTAGAGGGGATAGGAACGGAGTGAAGGATGGTATTGGAGTAGAGAGTGATTGAAAAAACTCGTCAGCGTGCTTCCTGTCTGGCCTCTTATAGAGTGAGGCCAAGTTTGTATCTGAGAACTCAAAACTCAAACTTGAGCCACAGCAGTTAGCACATATACGTGATTGTGCATGGCAGTTTGACCAGGTTGGGCATAGAGAGGGCAGTGGACTGTGGAGCGACAGTGCATTGCAGGGTGGCCAAATTGCCAACATTTCTGGCATTGCCAGGGTCTGATAGGGTAAGATTCTCTTCATATACAGACCTTGTGGTAATCTTGGCAATATTGATGTGGGATTTACAGCGGCCTCTGGGGGGGAATAGTGTAGCACTGTACTGATACTGCATCGTAGTCAACGAGTAGGTCGTCTTTACAGTCTGGCCAATCTTTGTGGCAGATAGGGCAATCAGCCGGGCAGACGAGAACAGTTCCAGCACATGTATTAAAAGAAGAGTGGAGTTGGGCAGGAATAGGTTTGTCAGTGAGGTCAACCAGGATATATAGTGCATGGGGTTGGGAACTCAGATGTAATGTGGTAAGGTGTGAACAGTCAGGACGACTGCGGAAGGAAACTTTGCCTACTTATTTTTTGTCACATGTTGAGAAAGAGGGTATTATCGGAGTAAGGGGCTGTTGGAGGACTCTGTCCCGCTTGGCTAGGCTAAATAGGGTACTCAAAAGGTTTGTAGAAGTGGAAATAGTAAAGGGGCGAGGACGGTTGAAAGAGAATAAGACGAATGTGCAGGAGGTGGGTTGGAGGATATTGGGAGTGAGGAAGGGATATCTTTTGAAGGCTGAGTTACAACCTGGGTAGATGATTCAGGATGGCTTAAGTTGACAGCTTGTATAGTAGCTCTAACACTGTTCTCCTACCACACAAAATATTCATTTAGTTTTCATTACCATCTGGTAACATAACTACTTTGTAAAAATATGTCAGGCATGAAAGAGAATAAAAAAAATAATTTGTTGGCAGATTAGGCTGGGTGATGCTCTGTACTATGGTTACATTTCATGTATCTTTTCTTTTTGTCATAATTTTAGTTTATTATATGAGGTACAAACATCTATTCACTATATACCATATTTATAGAAACCAGACGACTTCCATAAGAGATTTCCTCCATTTCCACTCTCCTTGCATATATCTCTTCTCTCATTGATTACAAAGAATTTGAAATGAGCAAATATTTTTCCTTTGACCTAGTGGGATTGGCAAACAGCTTAAAGAACTGACTTTTAAATAGAAATGTCTTTTCTTTATCCTACTCGCAATTATAGGATTCCCTTTGGTTGCTGTTCATATTTCTTAATAGTAGTAGGGCAGTGTTTGGCAATGTAAATAATAAGAGTTGTATGAACAAACATTTATTCAAATGCTTTCAGTGGAAAAAAAAAAAAAACTTTATCCATGGAAAAATAGTTGTCTATAATAGGAATTTTATAAGAATATTCTCAGATGCATACTTGTACAGAAACATATTTAAGTTTGTACTGCTGATACTTTCCTATCAATTGGAAGAATTAATGCATTTCCCAGACAAAAATTCTAGACAAGCAGCAAATGTTAAGCACCTTTTCTTTATGGCGATGACTTCAACAATTTCTTATCATATAAAATAGCTGCCTGTTGATAAGAACCTCAACAATTCTTCAAATTATCTTGTAATTTCTGATATAACTCAGATGGCTTGAAGACTCCAAGCTCTGTTACTATCCCTGTTATCAAATCAGCTGGTGTAACATCAAAGGCTGGATTCCAGCATGAAATCCCTGTGGGAAAATAATGCAAAGGTAAGGAACAACACAAAAATAGCTGTATGTATTAGAAACATTTCAGAAAACATGCAAAATCAGAAGTATGAAATAAAATCCTGAGCATAGGAGTGCTTACCAGGAGCTGCAATTCTGGTTCCTGCAACATCTGTCATTTCTTGATGTGGTCTTTCCTCAATTGGAATTTCCTTCCCATTGTTTAAGCTCAGGTCAATTGATGTAGTAGGAGCACACACATAGAAGGGCACATTGTGGTGCTTTGCACAAACTGCTAACTGATGACAAAAAAAAGAAAAAGAAAAACAGGTGTAACAGGCAAGTGCATTTCAAGTCTGTACATCATAATGCAGTCTAGAGTAAATATATACAGTACTTAGCATAAGATTTGAAAAATAATTACTGTTCAGCCAAATATTATTCACTTGAAAGTCACATGAATATTATTCAGTCATAGTATAACTATTTCCAGTACACATTTTTTTGTCTAAAACAAATCAATTTTAAAATCCCAAACAAAGGGGCTTAATTCAAAAAACTTGAATTCAAACATGGAACTTTTATTATATTTTGTTTCCTTAACCTCAAGTCTAATGGCAATTATTGTATACACTTTATAATATCAACTTAACTCGAAAATATTCTGATATTTCAACAGAAAAGTTTTCACCTGGTAAGTGCCAATTTTGTTTGCAGTATCGCCATTCCTGGTAACTCTGTCAGCACCAACTACAACAGCATGTATCTTCTGAGAATTCATAAGGGCTGCTCCCATACTATCGCAGATCAATACTGATGGTATTTTTTCATATACCAGTTCATAGGCTGTAAGTCTTGCACCTTGATTGTATGGACGAGTTTCAGTACAGAAGGCTTTGCCTATGGGTAAAATTAAATTTAAAAAAATTAAATGTTTTAGGCTAATTTCTAAAAAGTAAAAAATGGAAAGTACACAATAAAATAATTTCTTCTCATCTATTCTTTTTATATGTATTGTTGAAAAAAGGATTCATACAAAAAAAAAAGCTTGGAAAGAAGTACTCTTAAACACTGTTAGTTTTCTTATCACAACCAATATATTCCAACAATAAAAGAAGTTACTATAAAACAATTTTTATAGAATATTTACTTACTCAGATGACCCTTGTCATGCAGAGCTCTGATAACACCTAAAGCTGTTCCATATCCAGCAGTTGCAAGTGATCCAGTGTTGCAGTGAGTAAGAACTTGGACACTATTCCCTTCATTACCGCTCATAATGGCTTCTGAACCAAACTTGCCAATGTTCTTATTTGTGTTGACATCATCCTCTAACATTTTCTCACACCATGATATTATTCTAAAATACAAATAACATATCCCTTGAGGAAGATATCAAAGTTTACATAAAAATGGTGAAGATATATAGGCCATCTCAAGTCAAAGTTAAAAATTTTTGTTACTGAAACTATATAATTCATTTGAAAGAACTTATATTTTAATAAAAAACTATGGGAGATAATACAGTTTACCTTAATTTTATCATACAAAAGAATCTACTTTGAATGAAGCATTTAAGAGAGACATTTATGATACAAGGAAAGGATCCTGGATCCTTCTAGTTATAAATTGTAGCCATAAATAAGGAATAACTATTTGTAGAAAACAGCTCCTATAAACTATAACATAAAATAATGTCCAGTCCTAAAATAGTGATTGTGATGAAAACTAAATTGATGTATATATTATTTACAAGATTAAAATTAAAACTATATACCAAGGTATATTTTCATTAGTATACAATGAAAATGGGTAATTGAAAACATGATACTTACGACTTTACCATATCCTGTAAGGAGATGCCACCCTCACACATATTCTTGCTCACAGCAGTAAGCTCTTCAGCTGATTTTTTCATATTCACAGCTGTTGGTCTTGCACTTACTAAATACTCAAGCTTTGATGCTACATCTTTCTGTAGTTGTGCCTTTTCAGTATACGTTGACTCAGTCTCAGCTAACTCAGCTGCAAGACTAAGACAGCCTACAATTGCTATTGCTGGAGCTCCACGTACCTAAAGAGAGTTTTGTAAAATTATATATTTTTATATCAAAATAAACTTTTACTTGACATGCATTTTCAATAATTCCATGATGTATGGACAAAATATAAGCTTGGTAACATTAGGGACTACTAATATTTGTTCAAATACAAAAGACTGAGGAATTGAGTCATAAAATTCAATAACAAAAATAGATAAGTAAAATATTGAATACAATTACCTAATCCTATTTTTCTCAATCTTATGTTCTTTGTGACTATTGCATGGCAGCAATACTTCACAAGGGATAAGTAAAATTCTGACCCTTTCACACATATACATTCTGATAATAGATTTCACCTCTTGAACAACACAATTACACCACCATAAACTATGCCACTCTGTTCTCTATGGGTTGATTATAAGCAGAATATGGAAATAAGTATTTCAAAGAAAATCACAAATATAAAAATAAAAGATTTAATAAATGTTTGCCTATTTCATACTAATTAGAACTTAATAAGAGCAACTGATTGTATTAGCTAAACTGTATAGTTGAATAAAATCACTAAAAATGTCATTTGTGTTGCTACATGATAGATAATAAGCCATGTAACTACTGACCAATGAATACTAAGAATTTTCCATACTCTCTTTGCCAATCTAATACCTAAATGCAGTTGATTCATATTTTATCCCCTTATATTGCCCTTCATCATTTTTAATGGGTAAGTTTGTTCAGCAGAAATGAAGTTATGTATAAGCTTATAAACATTTCTTATCAGTATAATCTAATTTACAATCAAAAGCATAGGTATTATGTGTCCACTGTATAATGGAGTTCCATGTATATCTAACAAATAATTAATATCCGAAAAAAGATGGGTGTAATCTCAACACGGGCAGTCAAGCAATTAAATGCTAAACCTCTTGCCACTTGCGCTTGTTACCACCAGTTACGTAAATCATGAAGTTATGTATGACTTTAAAAGCAAGTTTATAATACTTGATTCATCACATGGTATCTGAAATAAGTTCTGTTACTGAAGGGTTTCATGAATAGAAATGTCACTTCCAAACGAACAAGAAAAATTATATTCTCACGACTGCCAGTCAGCTTCACCCACCTGCATCTTGTTTATAACTTGCCATCCGTCCTCGACATTTTTGACATCAATATACTCAGTTTCCTTGGGAAGTTTCAGCTGATCTAAGATTTGGAGCTTGTGGTTATGCCAGCGTATAGCTTGCAGGGTCATCGTCTCAAACTTTTTTCTGACTTCTTCTTCTGCGGTGATTATCCCGGCAGTGGCACCGGCAGACTGACTGAACTTTACTGTAGTTACACGGCAGTCGCTGTTGCCATGAGCTAGGACTGGCTACTACATTTGTATGTCGATTATATGTCGACTCGCATTACATCCGATATAGAGAAGAATAGCACTTAAATGCACTTAAAATATTTTTTTCAGGAAAGCTTTAGTTTATTTTCAAATTTCAACTCCCTTGGATGTGAGCGTGTAAGTGCAGAATAAAAACCGATCAGAGTAGTTCTGTAAATAGTAATTTAGGATCTTTGTATGCATTTATAAACCAAAAAGATTGTTACACGTCAAACACGTGACATGTTATATTGTCATTAAACACGCGACATATTTTATTGTCATTAAACATGTGACATATTATATTGTAATTAAACACATGACATATAATATTGTCATTAAACACGTGACATATCATATTGTCATTGTGATGAATGGTTGGTTCTATATGATTATCCTGGCAGAATTAAAGTACTCTCCGTAACGTATTGTGTTACCGTTGGTATTATCATCATTAGCATTAATATTATTGCCATCACCATTTTCGTTGTCATTATCATTATTGTTATTATTATTATTATTATTGATTTCTTCTTATTATTGATTTATTATCATTATCTCCATCGTCATCGTCTCCATGATTATCATGATCACGATAATCACCATCATCATCATTTACATATATTCATCATGACTGTTATTATTATTAGCTGTAGTAGCATTAGTAATATTAATAATGATAGTGGTGAGGGTGGAATGACTCTTCTTGTTATTGTTATCCAATCGATTAATATTATTATTGTTACTGGCGGGGCCCATGGAAACTCCATGGAAAAGAAAATTAATTGAAACAAGAGGTACTATTCTCTCCCTCTTTCACTCTCCTGCCTTTCGCCTCCCTTCTCCCTTTTCCTTTCCGTCTCCCTCTACCTTTCCCTTTCCCGCTCAGACACACCTTTACTCCCAAATCTTCCTTAATTCATTCCTTTCTCATTTTAATCTCTATATCTGCCCCCTCCCACTTCCAACCCAACTCCCCTTCCTCCTTCCCTCCCTCTCTCATCTCCCTTTTTTCTCTGAGCCCCTCCTCCCTTCCCATTCCCTTTCCTCTTCCCTCCTTTCTTCTCCTCTTCCGTTTCCCTTTTATTTCCCCTTCTCTTTAAAACCATTTCCTCTTCCTTTCTCCACCCCCCCCCCTTCCTATCCCCTCCCTTTTCACCTTCCTTCTTAACCCCCGTCACCCGTAGGATAGTCGTGTAAATGGTAAATATGCATAAACTGACGGTCGAACTATTTCGATGCCGTGTACTTGCCTCGAAGAAAAAGAATGAGAATACTACAGCTACTAGCCATCATTTTTTATGATTAAAATTATAATTATTGTTGTTATAGTCTTATTATTATTATTATTATACATTATTGTCGTTATATTTATTGTTATTATTATTGTCGTCATCACTATCATTATAAGTATTACAGTTTTTTATCATTTCTTTATCGTTATTGCTGTTGTTGTGTAGATTTATTATTTGCATCACTGTTACTGTTATTATTATTATTTATCATTATTATCATAATTGTCATTGATAATGCTGTTGATAACATAATTGTTGGTCTTTGTATTGATGTTCAGCACCATTATTGTTAGTGTTATTATTGTTTTGTTGCAAATTTCATTATTATATTATATATCATTATTATTATGTCATTATCGTGTTGTTAATGTTTTAATTGTGTTGTTATTGTTTTAATTATTTTTGGTAGTTATTATTATTATAATTACAATAATTATTATTATTATTATAATTACAATAATTATTATTATTATTATCATTATCATCATCATCATTATCATCACCACATCATCATCATCATTACTATAATTGCCATTGTTTTTGTTGTAGTAATGATAATAATAATAATAATAATTATTATTATTATTATAACAGTAATGATACGGATAATAATGATGCTAATAATTATCATGATAACAATAATAATAGTGATAATAATTATGATAATAATAATAATAATAATAATAATAATAATGATAAATAATAATTACTCATTATCATATTAGCATCACTCTTTTTAGGACTCTACCACATTTAAGCATTTTATCTGATCATTAGTTAGATATATTTATTCATGAAATATTTCCCCTCCTAATCCCTTGCTCGTTGTTGTCACGGAGGGCGGGCGGGGGGGGGGTATTGTAGGCCCCAGCTGATTTTGCATGGTCTTTTCTTCCCCCCCCCCCTTTCCTTTTCCTTTTCTTCTTCATCATTCCCTTCTGTCCACTTCCTAAGGTGTGAGAGCAATGCTCTAAAGAAGAAAGGCTGAAATTGTGTCAGTCATGAACGGCGTCCGGGAGCCATGGGCACGGTATTCCCTTGATTATTTGCCCAGCCCTTACCCCTCATGGGGACCCTGAGGGGTAAACCGTTTCCTCTCCCTATTGATTCCAGGCTCACCATGGCCAATAACGAATGCTATTATTCTTATTAACCTTGAGAATACACCCCTTCCTCACTTCAAACATCATCCACTTCATCTTCTACTTCACAGTATTACCTCTCTCCATCCATAACATTCCATCTTCCTCCCGCCCTTGTCCTTCTACCGCTTCCACCTCTGCAACCCTTTTGAGTACCATTTATGGCCCAGCCAAATTCCCCCTACAGCACCGTACTCAGACAATACCCTTCTCTTCCAACAATGTCTCCAAAAACAAGTAGACAATTATTTTCTTTCGCATTCGTTACGATCGTTCACGCCTTTTCCAGTTACCTCTGAGTCCCAGTTTTGTGCACTGTCTACCGTGACTGACCTCACTGGCAAACCTATTCCTGCCCAACCTCACTCCTCCCTTAATATTAATTCCGGAACTGTTTCCGTCTCCGACTGATTGTCCTGTCTACGACAAGGTCTGGTCAGACTGTGAAAACGGCTTGCTCGTATGCCTCGTCGACTATGGTGCAGTGGCAGTCCAGTGCTACACCAGTATTGTTGAGATTATCTTCCGTAGACATGACCTCCTCCATGAAGTTTATATCGGTGGAGTATCCTGTGCTGTCCTTATCAACCTCTTTCCCGTCTATGTCAGAAATGTTAGCGTTTTGACTGCCTAGCCAAACACCGTCGCTCCACAGCCTGCTGCCCTTTGTGTGCCCAGCCTTGCCATGATCGTTCAAATTGTTCTGCTCAGTCAAGCACATGTACCAATTGTGGTGGCTGCCATAATGTATTCTGTAGGTGCTGCCCTTGTCTGAGGTAGCAGACAAGACCTATTCCAAAACTGTACTCTACCCATACCAAAACTGTACTTCGCTCAGCTACCTTCCCATCTTTTCAAGAAGACTCAGCATCTCCCCCAGTATCTCTTCCCTCTATCCCGAACCATCCTATCTCTACTCCCTCTTTCCCCAAGTCAAAATCCTTTTTCCAGTTTAAATCCAGATACTCCAATCTCTATCTCTTCCCGGCTTCTACCCATCCTCCTTCTCACTCTACCTGTCGCACCAGACAATCTAAACGTTCCACCCATCTTCTCTTACCACATCCTCTCCTACATTCACCATTCCCTCTGCTCCTCGGATATCTGTTACCTCTTCTCAACATATGAAAACCTTTGTTTCTCAGACCTCCCCACCCAGCTCCCGTCGAGAAACTCTTGAAGACATCCAAGAGTTCCTAAACATGGCTCAAGAGAATTATTTACTCCATCATCTACTTTTTAATCCCTTCATTCCTATTCGCTCTACATTCAAAGTATCTGCCATATCTGCCCTCTTCCTCCTCAAGTTTCCCCTACCCCTCTTCCTCCCGCTCAACCAAAAATCATCCCATCCCCTCCTTCTCCCACCTAGATGCTTACGTGACTCCCTTATGCCACAACAATAAACTTCTCTTGATCCCTCTCTTCCTGACATTCTTCCTTATACTGCACCATCTCCCCACGTTCCATTATATCATTCTCTGGATTCTACTCCTATTTCTACAACTATCGTTTCTTACTGTATTACCCTTTGATTGTTTCATAATTGCAGTTTTCCTCATACATTGTTACTCTCCTTTCCTCAGACACATATTCTCCATTTGATCTGATCGCCCTATACCTTTAACTCCATACCTTAACTCCATTTTACAAATTTCATCCCCACTGTATTCCATTTGCTCCCCCTTTATACCCTTTTCACTACCTTTCTATCCTACAGCATTCTACAACCTTTGACATCTAACACATCTTATCCCAGTCGTTAAATAATTTCCACCCTTTTCGCCACAATACTTTACCATAGTGTTATATGACCTCTGATGTCTAGCACATTTTTTTCTTCTAATAATTAGCTATTAACCATAGGATATCTTCGTTATTTAAAGTAAATTTATGTTCTTTGGTATCATTTATGGACCGGAAATCGTGAAAGCCGCGGCTTGCAATCGCCAATGTTCTTTCCGTACTGAGCAGCAACGACTTCCGGCTTGAATTGACCTGCAGTTCTGTATCTTCACGCTGCTTGACCGTACGGGCCACACAGCCTTATTAAACGTTTACTGCTTTAGCTCACCTTATTACGGGTGTTCGTCCTTGATAACCAACAAGGTATTGTCGTTAACCCTCTTCATGTTGACTACAAGGTTAGCCATTCAGCATGCGCCAAAACCTGCACAGCTTCCATATCTTGACCTAAAGTCTCACTATATAAGGGCTTGCCTCAAGTTTTCCTTACTCCGTCATCGGCTGCATTTCCCTCCGAAAACTGCGTATAGTAGAAAGCAAAAAACATCTAGTACATTACGATGTGTAAGAAAAAAAGATATTGGAATTCTGTGCCAAAATTTGTTGTGTAAACTTTAGGGAGTAAATAGACAGAAAAAATAGGAGTTATTTTTTCAAAAACTTTTTGGGTATATCTAGGGGTGGGTCATAAATGGTCTTGGTGTCTAGGGTAGGGTTTCTTGGGGTGCTGAGTTCAATTATGAAGGTTATGAGGTGATCTGAGATGACAGAACTATGCACTTAAAAAATTTAACTTCGTCCGTTAATGGACAAATGCCAACTACTATTTCTTTTTTCAGTGGTTGATGTCAAGTTTACTGAAACGTTTTTATTATTTTTTCTTCTTTTCAGGTTCATTACCGTACTGCTGTAAAACTGGCCATTTTATACTGGGGTCATAAATAACCCCTCCCCCCAATACTGAATATATATCAGAGCACAATATTATATATAATGTGCTATACTAAGGCTAATAATTTTCTTCTATATTTTCCATACATTGTCACTTTTCTCACCATAGTGAATATACCTTATGTAGCCAAGCTCTAAACATCAAACAAACAGTCAGAAATGTCTCAGCCAAAGCCTGTGCAACTGCGAACTTGCATACTCTGCAAAGCAGAGGGCTCAGTCAATAAGCTCGTTGATAAACCAGATATATCACTTATCAGAGGTTCAACTAGGTGATGTGCACCTAAAAATTTCTTGCAGAACACTTCAGTAGCTTGTCTGGGATATGCCTAATTATTATTAGGAGATGTCTAATTACCGATCAGTCAAGACTAATGCTCCTGCATAAACCTGAAGTGACAATAGGATGATATGAGATGTCAATGATGCCACGTTCCATGTTGCTCCTGATGGGACACTGCTCTTGACTGCTGACAAGGCTAGTGTCATGCATGCCATTGAAAACCAGCCCTCTGAACCCTTGCAGCCTACTCATGACCACTCAAAGTCCTGTTCAGCATTCTTCTCATCCCCAGGTTCCCAGCTTGGAAAACAATGGTTAGAGGTACCAGAGGATAGCGCAATCTTCCTACTTCGGTGTCTTAAACTACCTGTTCCTGAAGCAGTTCTAGAGCTAATCATATGTGGCTGTAAATCATCTATACGTACACACCATTATTCATGTGCAAATAACCACCTGCCCTGCACGCCACTTTGTTAATGTCATGACCATGTATTTCAGAAATGAAACCATTGACGTAAATTATGAAGTTTAAGACTGTGCTTGGATTTGATAAGTGGTGAGAGTGCATATTAGCGAGATTGACCAGTAGAGTAAATGTAGACCAGATTTTCTTTTGTTGAATATGAACCACTGATGATAGGTACAATGAAAGTGTGCGTTTGTTTGCAGATATAATGTTACAATCAAATATTTACTGGTTTACATCTAGATAATGTATCGGATACCATTTGCAATATAATGTTTCAGAATGGCCATGTTC